TTAATTTGAAAACTAATTCAGCCTCATAATTGGCTTTCTGTTCAAATCACTGAGGCTAAAGATTTAAATTCTTAATATTCAGATGACTTTCGAGTTTCTGGCCCCATCTGTGCATTAGTCCATGGTGTTAATCTCTGAGGGAATCTCTGCTGGCATAGAAATAAAATAAACAAACTGGGACACTAGTAGAATAATCAGCTTTTAAAATCCTTGGATTTTTTTTTATATACTGCTTATTTTTTATGAGACTTCTTTAACTCAATTTGCCACATATAGATTTGGCTCCCAGCTATTTCATTTTTCAAGTGGCACGTTATCAACAATTATTGTATCAGACTTCCATGAAATAAGGAGGAGATGGGGAAATTTTAAATTACAACATTTCTCATGTAAGAAACACTAATATACCTTTCTTTTGGGGGACTGTCCATACTTAGCACTCTTTCACACCCATCCCAGGGAGAGTGGTAGGAGTAAACTATCCTTCACAACTCCAGGAGAAAGAAGGAGCTGGATGAAACTTGAGTTTAAAAGAGGCTGCTTGGACTTTTGCTATTGACTTGCAAGGGACCAAGATGTATCCAGAGAGTTAGTGAAGTGGAAAGGATGAATGGAAATGGAAAAGGCCAGTCTGACAGGAACAAATTGTTTTGGAGAGATGAGTTAATTTTTGACAATCTTTCTGTTAAAAGAAAATAGATACAACCCAGAGCAAAGCACTCGAGTCGCTGCGGAGCATTTCACATTGACCTTTTCAGAACTGAACGCTTCAGTTAAGTAAGACATCCACATCCTTCCATAAGAAACATTTGGTGGTGGTTACAGCAAAACTAAGCTTCTGTAGAGATGGAAATAATCTTTCTCCATCACGCCATTGTTTTGTGATTAAATTCCCTTTTTATTTTTGTGTTTAAGCATTTTCATTCTATCTTACTGAGCAATTTTTCTTTTGGAAACTGTAGAGTTTCCTTTGACAGAGCACTCCTCAAGGACAGCCCTGGGATCCTGCACTCCCAGCAGTACAAGAGCAGGGACTGGGCTCCTGGCAGGCAGCCACTGGTGCTGTACAGAGGGGAAAATCCCACCTCAAGCCCCAGTTCCTTCCTGCCATAAGGCAGTGGAGCTTGTGTGAGGCTGCTCAGAGGTGCGGGCTGGGGAAAGGCAGCAGAACCCTGGCAGGGCAGGCAGTGCTGGGCAGTGAAGCTTTGCCACCTGTCCCGCTCTGTCAGCGCTTGAAAGGCAACTCCTGCAGCTCTGGGAGAGCTTTGCTGATTAAGGCTGCCAGAGGGAGCAGGGGAATTTCTGCTCCAGCTTGCAGCTGCATTTTTAAAACTTGGCTGTGTTCTTCATCTAGAGGCAAAGTTCAAAGAGGCAGAACATTATTCAACATGAGTAAAACATGGTCTTTTAAGATACACTTTCAAACAGTGGCACGTTAAATCAAAACAACTCATGGAGGGGGAGAGTAAGGAAGAAAGATGGTCCTGTGGAAAAGGAAATCCTGCATCACTACTCTGTTCTGCATTTTTGGAAGGGCCTGCATTTATACATTTAAATTATCAGCTGCTTGACCTGAGGCTAGATGAGCTAAAAATGCACAAAAGTGTTTCCCAGAGGGAATCAAAAAAAGGAAAGAGATGCAATTCAGTTTAAGAGCCAGGGAACATTTGAGAATGCACAGGAGCCAGCCTGAGATATCTGTTCACACTACAGAAAACTTCACCAAGAGTGAGCTCCTGATTTCAAAAACACTATGCTACGGTGCAAGACACTATTTCAATTAAGTTATTATAATCTTAGCCAGCAACAACAACCCATTACAATTAATAATACTTGATGATTTCTTTTCTATTCCTGTCAAGGGTTGCTTCAAGGTGACTCGCAGAGAGCACACTCCTTGGGAACCCAGGTTGAGTGCTCTGCAGACTGGGAAGCCCCTTCACTTAAACCCATCAAACTGTCTAATGAGTCTCTTCACATTGCTGCCAATTCTTTCAGCTCTTGGACAATTTTATATATTTATATTTCAGGCTAAAGCAACCTTGCTTCTGTGGGAGGCTGAGTGCCCTGCTGCAGGCTGGAGTACGGCTCTTTCCCGCATTCCCATTTCCTTGGTTTGCTCTACCCTCTTTTGGCTTATTCACTGTTGAGTCAGTAGGTCATAACCTTACTTGGCCACCCTCCATTCCCTGCTGTGGCCAGGCACAATTTCCAGCTCCCTGACAGGGTCAGAGATGAAGCACCACACTCTGTTCCAGCTCAACGCACCCCAGCCCTAAGCGGGGACCACGCTGTGCTTTGTGGCACAGTGTCCTCCAGAGGCACAGCCCTGACTGCTGTGCCCACACACCGTGGGCCTTGGCTTCACCCTGTACCCTGGGTGTGCTGTGACAGCACCACAGAGCCCTTTCCTGCTCACTGGAATGGGATCTGCTCTATTGATCCTGCTAAATCCTTACCGGGGCTTTCCCTGCAGCTCAAGGTCACTGCGCCCTGCTCAGCCTGTGCCTAACCGTGGATTTTTGATGGTGTTGCTCTGCAAAATTTCCATTGGTAGAGATTGAGCTCCATATGTCCTTTTTCATCTGTTTTGTTTTGTTTTTGTTTGGTGGTTTTGTTTTGTTTTTTTATCTGTGCAAAACTGTGACTGACTCCAAACATTCATTGGCTGCTCACTCTAGTTGCCCTTAGAGTCAGCATTTATTTGGGACACTCTAATCCAGCTACTTTTCTCATCAGAGTTGTGCAAAATTATTAAGAACATTGCAGATACTGTCATAATCAAGTAATCCTGCATTTTTAATCACAGCCATTATAAATGGGCATATGGAATATATGAGAAGTAACAATTGCACAGGGTATCCAGGGAAGCATTTTCAGTCCTCAGGCATAGCTCATCAGCAGTGAGCAGTGGAAAATGAGTGCTGAACTGCAACATACAATAAGATTTTTTAGTTTGCTTGAAGCATGGATATACACACATATGCAGATATATTTTTATAGATGCATATATATATCTAACTTCCTCTTGAACCAGCAATGAACACATCCCACTAAAAAGTGTCTAAATTTTTTCAAGATCTATGATTAGCTAAATACATTGTCTAGACTTGTCTCTGCACAAAACAGGGACACATAACTGTGAGGCAAAGGAGATGCACTTGGATATCACCAGTAACTGCATGACCTCTCTATCACTTTCTCAAAGGCACAAGATCACGTTTCTTGCCAAGTACATGGAACGAGGGCCTCCGATACCCAAATTCCTAGGAGGTTCTACAAAAGTAAAGAACAGAAATTCAATACTAATACAAACCTTTTAAAAGAATACCGATTAAACAGGAAAGAGAGAAAAAGAACCCGCAACCAAATACATCAAAGACAAATGTAATTGCTTTTGAATAAAAACAGATTGCTTCCTACCTTCCTGCCTTTAAGGCAAGCACTCCAGCCTGGGATACAGAATACCAAAAATCACTGCTAGAAGCACAGGCACAAGTATTTTGTAGGCAAAGTTATCCTATTCTGATTTAATAGCTCAAAGGCTTATCTGGATTTCAGACAAGAAGAGGATGCAATTTACTGCTTGTTTCACACAGATGAACAGAGCTCGTTAAAACATTTGGGAACACTTTGAATATTGATCTGTCCTCGAATAAGATGTAAGAAATTTGTTTTGCTATGAAAATGTATCAATCTTTAAACCTTGATATGCCCCAAAGTGGCCTTCAAATGAAAGCTGGAAAATCCTCTGGGAAAATGCCATCAAAGCCACCAGCTCAGGGACGTCTCACGTCCCCTCCACCAAGCAGGACTGGGATCAGGACTTTGAAGCTGGGACATCACCACCCAAAGCGAGCAGGGAGGGAGCTCTACACATTCTTTCCACAGAAATAATGTCACGTTCTGTTCCCACTCTGTGCCCCCACAGCCTCCTGCTCCTCACGGTGCTGGAAGACAATCAATCACGGCTGCGAATCACCTTGTTAAAAACAGTGCCCACCGGAGACTTCCCCGTGACACCTCCGGCCGTGATAAATGTTTGCTGACACAAACCAAAGTCACAAGGTATTTAACCCCTCAGCTGGCAAACAACTGAGGATACAATGTGCCTAGGAAAAAAAATCTCCTTCCGATTTCAGGAGGCTTCCAATTGCGCTGGTGCTACAGCACAATTTATGTTCAAAGAATGGATACACTCATATTAGTTCCACTCAGCAATGAGCTACAACAACCCTGCTACCATTTTGGAAATAAGAAATCAACTTCATAGTTGAAAACAGAACATTAAAGATCCTTATACCTCTATCTTTTTTTCTAGCATATAAAGACGTCCATGTAAAAATCATCCCCTTTCCACATACAACTTACACCAGCACCAATTTTTCACCCATAAACCTTCTGAAATTGTATTTCAGGTTTTTCCCCATTTCTCCCTCTGTTAGAAAAGTCTGTAGGAACAGAGCAGGAGTCTGCAATTTCAGCAGAAATACTCCCCCTTCCATAGGTTTGCATCAGGCCCCAAGTAAGAAAGTATTTTCTGCACACCTTGGGACACAGACCTATTTGGAGTCTGACTGGATGCCAGATATTGAGTTGGCAAATGACTGGATTAAATGTCATGGAGGCGGATATTCAGCATTTCAGATGCAGGGTCAGTGAAAGGCCACTGTTGGGCTGGCTTTCAGTGCTCTGAAATTAGAAAAACAGCCCTGTGCATGTGTAATGAGTGTATGAGAATGGCAATACAGAGCAGATCTCTGAAAAACTGCTGTTTTTACAAATTCCACAGCTAGAAGTGACAATCAGGACCTTGCCTCCAAACCAAGTCTGCACTTTCTCTTCAGAAAGAGACACAAGACACCTTCATCAGTCTTCCACAAAGAGCCAGGAAGAGCAGACCTTTCCTTCATCCCCTCTATTCCAAGTGGAGGCTAAGCCACCAAACCAGATGAATGGTTGAAAGTTTCTGAAACTTTAAGACTTTTTTTCGACTGTACCTGGTTTGGAGCCTTCATCAACAGATCCATTATACACTTGGTTGATGAACTCTGGTCTGTTGTCATTCATATCAATCACATAGATGTAAAGGTCAATAGGATTCTCCACCTTGTTTCCATTCATATCCACTGCGTGAGCCCGGAGCTGGGAATAAAATGAAAGCACAATATCAGCAATTGGATTTGTTGCAGAATGAGAGACCATTTTGCAAGGATTGACTTTACCTCATAAATACTTTTCTCAAAATTCAATGGAGCAGGTATCTAATTCCAGCAAAAAGCACTGACACAGTTTCCATCTAGGTTCTACCCACAGACAGATTTTCAGGGCTTAACATAATATTGAAATAATATTTTAGAACTGCCATTGTCAATGGAAACACTTTAACTCTGGTGCAGTGATGATATCTCCTTCACTGCTCACAGACCACTGTATTTTAATTTTTAAGTCACAGTGAACCTTGTCTGACAGTCTGAAAAGCAAATTTTGCTTAGTTCCAAATACGCTGAGGAAATGAGTTTCAGTGAGACGTTTCTTATGGGAACCTGCAGCCTTTCACACCCACAATAACAGGGATTAATAGTGAAGAGATTTCAGAATGACATTAGTAGTGTTTATTCTTTGTTTAATCATGGTCTCTAGGAACAGCAACAGCTACCAACCCCATGGCTCCGTGCACCAAAAGACATCTAAAAAGTCCCTTCCCTTCAAATAATGGGAGCCCCTGAGACATTAAGAATGAAATATCTTCCTCAGGCTTGACTAAAATACCCAGTGCTAAAGCATTTCAATAACCAAAGTCACAGTGTTAAGCCCTCAGCTCAAATGGAACTGCAGCTTTATCTTATTAGTAATAACCATCAGTAATAATGCCCCAAAACAAGAGCATCTGTTTTCTGAACAAAAGAGACAGATACAGCATGTCAAAATGAGTAATTAATAATACAAAGCAATCAACAATACTCAGGAACAATCAGTAACCAGGTGAAAAAAATGGATAGCTTTCTCATTAAAGGGAACAGATGGCTACTCTGAATGGCGTGTGGCTGAATGCGCTGCCGACGCCGGCTTCGGGAAAACTCCGACAGTGAGGGAAGAGCTGCACAGCCCCTGACCACGGATGGCAGCAAGGAGGCACTGGCTGGCTGTGAGCACTGCAGATTTTGGCTATCATCCCTCTTCATTTCAGCTGCTGTGAGCACTGCTGAGCCTCCACCCTGCCCCAAGAACTGGGGACAGCACTTGGGATGGCCGTGTGACATCCGGCAAGGCTCGTGGGCTGAAGAACAAAAGCTTCAGAGGACATCAGCTTCACGGAATCACAGAATGGTTTGGGTTGGAAAGGACCTAAAACTCCTCTAGTTCCAACCCTCTGTCACAGGCAGGGACACTTTCCACTAGACTAGGTTGCTCCAAACCCCGTCCAATCTGTCCTTGAACACTTATAGGGATGGGGCAGCCTCAGCTTCTCTGGGCAACCTCTTTGTGCAAGGGCTGGCTGGGAGAGTGGGGCTGCAGGACAGGGGATGCACCAGCTTGTGCCATCCAGAGGGATGGAGGCCTCTGGTTACTCCCAGCCATTCTCTGCACCATCAGGCCGCTGTGGGGAGTCAGAGCTGACATGCCAAGGAGGTCTCAGCTCCTCTGATGATCGACAAATGAATGTGCTAATTGCATTAGCACTGGTTCCCGTCTTTTGCTCTCGCTGTGTAGGTGATTGATGCAACTTTCTCCTTCATGTACGGTGCTCAGAAGTCCAGAGCTTTAACAAAAGAAACTGCACACCATTAGGATGGGCTGGATTAACATTTAATCAAGCAAAGAGAACAAACTGCCACGAGAAATGAGCTGAGAGAAAAACATTTCTTTTTAGAAGAAAGTTAAGCAGCACTTTTTCTTGAAAGCCTGAGGAACTCCAGCTTTGCTTTCAATACAGGATGTACCATTTGTATTTCAGGAGTTGCAATGCTCTTAATATCTGCATTTCTTGCCTGCATACGAACTGCTTTGGCTCCCACCTGTTGAGCAATCCTTCATCATGTCAGATGTAGCAATTCAATAACTTTACAGTCAGAGGTCATACTGTCTTTGAAAAAAAGTAATTCGGAGTTAAAATTAAAGTTATTATCTTCAAACTGAGGCAGCACTGGGCCCTCTCTTACAGCATTTCCAGCAGCGGAAATGGTTCCATTCAGAGATAAAGCAGAGGGCAAAGCTGGTATCTCCCCCCTCAGATCTGACTCTCCCCCTGCAAATTTTTAATTAGATTTGATAGCTTTTGTTTGAAATCTCCAGGAGTAAGGGATTTCTCAGCAATGCACATCTATCTGCTTGTTGCACTCACTAAGCACATGTACCCATCTACGCATTGCTGCCTGCACTCAAGGAAAAAAAGATTCAATAAGCAAGACTGTAGGAATCTCATCAAACCTGTGGTGACATGCTCAAGTTTCACCTCTGTCCCGAGTCCTCAGCACTGGGCTGAGTTATGTGAGGGAGGGCAGTGCTGGGGCACACTGGTGCCCTGACTAACAGCATCTGGGGTGTCAGAAGGATGGCACATGTCCCCAAACCCAGTGCAGCAAAGCCTGTGCCTTTATAGCCTGGGTTATACAGGGGGCTGGGTGTCCACAGCTGCTCCTCTTCTGCCCTCAGTTGTTCCTGCCACCCTTTCTGCAAAAGTTCTATCTTCCTCTCCTGCTCTGTTTTTGCCTGATTTCAATGAATGTTTCTACTTTTTTTCCTCTTGTTCCTGCTTACATTAATTCTCTCTATCCATACTCTTTTTACAACTCTCATGTGCCAATGCCTCCACAACACGCTGCTTCTCTGTGGCCAGTGCTAGCCATGGCAGAGGGAGAAGGGAGTCCTGAGCCAGAGGGTTGAATTACAACTCAGCTCAATGGGAAATCTTTTTAGAGACTATTCCTCATTAGACACCATCCTCAGCAGAGAGAGAAAACGAAGGAGGGACTCCAGGGGGGCAATCTGTCTACTGGGAAACTAGCTGGATCTCCAAGGCAGATCAGTTACTCTGTTTTCCCTTCCTTAATTCATCTTCTCCCTCGTTCTCCTGTCCTCCTTTTTGTATTCATAAGGCATCCTCTAGCTGGAAAACACACATAGTTCTGGAGTCATTCTTCAGACACCGAGATGGGGCTCATTTCTGTGAGGCACAGTCTGAGTCCACGTGGGGCCCCACGACTCAGGCTGCCACCTCCTCCCAACAGGTATTTTGGTGGTAGTGATGGAGAGGGTGAAAAGTGGATGCATGTGAGTGCTTTGCAACACTGGGCGAAGCACAAAAGGTGATGACTGAGCTCCATCACACACCACATGTCATGTTCAGAGGGAAAACACACCAGTGAAAGGTCAGTGAGCATCACCTGGGCCATGGGACACACGCCAGACACAGGTCATGCACGAGTATTCAAATGGGATCTGGTGGCCAGCTGAAGAGATGGTTAAGAAACATTTATAAAGTTGATTTGAGACATCTTCATTTTCCCCAAGAGGGAGAATACAACAGGAGTGAAGAAGGAATAAATAAAATCAAATTAAATACCTTGCAAAGGATTCTGAAAAATTAATACAGGTAGCCAGCTAATCTCTAGCTGATGCATCGCTCTGCTGTACACCAGCCAAAGAGCTGGCTCGATATTCTTTAACAAATATTGCTTAAAAGTATGACAATTATTGCTATCATATTCAGCAGCAGCTACCACAGGTCTCTGAGGTTTTCCTACTGACAGTTTCCAGTGTAAATGTAGCTGTTGGCATACAAATGATTCGGTATCATGATTATTGATTACACCAGAGGCTGGTGGTATCTGAAGGTAGTTAGTCAAAGTCAACACAGTGAATTGTGTTAAATATGAGTATTACTTACACACTAATACTACTAATACAAATATACATTATCAATCAGTGACAGAGCCTTTAAGGAATAAGCATACAATGTCATGCATAATTTGTGTGCTCTTAATTGTGATTAAAAGTTCCATTTAGAGCATCGTGACAAAAATGGCTGGCATTACTCAACATGGTTCAAAATACTGGAATTACCTCTTGTATCCTCAAATTTCTAGTAAGCTTTGCCTCTTGGCATTTAAAACAACTCCTTCTCAGTCTATAACCCACCTGTTCTGCTCCAGCCATTCCTGAGGCAGTATTTCATCAGGCTGATGCTGAAGGCGCACACGTGTCTGGGACTGGATTAGGAATTGCTTCAAAGTTTCCCTACAATGCACATTACTTGAGTATCATAAGCAATGACTACTTAGTGACACGTTTATGCTGATGTCTTTTGAAAACAGAGCTTGAAAAACGTCTTGGAAAACTAACCTACCAATTTTCTATCCCTTGTACTTGCCAGGCCTAACTGCAGCTTAATATGAAACCGGTGCCTGGATCAGAAAAGACATTCAGAGCCACTAATTCTGTCAGCAGCACAAGCGGGACTTTGGGAACGCAGTTAAATAAGGCCAAGAGAACTCATGCATATTAAATACTACTACCTGCTGAAACTTATTTGGCATGCAGGGAACATTAGGGGCTGACTGCGAGGGGAGATGCAACACACGCCTGTCGCAGTGAGATGGCACCAAGATGGGGGGTATGTGTCCCATGGCTGGGTGTCCCATGGCTGGGTGTCCCATGGCTGGGTGTCCCATGGTTGCGTGACTCAGGAGTCCATCTCCAGCCACAGGCGCTACTGATGCTGGGGTAGCTCCCACAACAGCACTCAGTGCCACACGAGCAGTTCCCCACCCCAACGTGGTGTTGGTTAAGTGGCTGCAAAGCCCGTTTCATTTTTCTCTGCTCGTGTTTTCAGCTGACTCTGCATCTGGGATTGTCTGCGAGGTCCCTGGAGAGTTTGTGCTCTGGTTTGTAGTGCAGACAAAAACAGATGAGGCCAAAATACAGCTGAACTTGCCATCACTAGGAGTGTCAGCACACATGGCTCCTAGACAGGGGCCGGGAGTCCCAGAGGCACATACATCTCTGCATACATCAAGCTCGGGATGATCCTCCCTAAAAGTTCAAGAATGATGTCGAAAACAGGAGAAGTTCTGCTGCAGAACTCCTGATCTAATCAGAAAAAAATCTGTTTCACCTTAGGGAACGAGGTAGGTTTCATCAGACAAATGGCTTGCTGAATGCGGGGGAGTTAAAACACTAGTATTTTAAAAATGGTAGTCCTGAAGCAAAACAGATAATTATGCATAAGAAAATATGTGTTGAAAAATGTGGGAGTTAATGAAACAGAACCCTTCATATGTAGCCCCACAAACAGTTGCAAATTATTGTTCTTTTCTTTTATAATTAGTTTTTAGATTACCTGGGAATGAAAACAGCAAGGACAACATTTGACAGCGACAGAAATGCTGAAAAGACTCAATTCTGTTCAGGGCTACAGAAATCCTGAAGCTGTATAAATGCACCCACTGTCAGCCAGAGCAGCAAGCCTGTATTGGACACAGAGCCCATGAACTGGTGGGTAAGAGGGACCTGGAGTGGTGTCTTGCAGTTCCACTGACATTTTCTACTCCAGCTGAAGAGTTAAGCTACTAATCCAAGCTAAAGGAAACTACAGTACATGTCAAACTGATTTAAAGGTGGCCAAGCTCTACAGTTCAGATCCAAGCCTACACCTCAGTCACTGTTCCTCTAGCACTCACTTCAAGCCTGGCTCAATGTTGTCTTTCCTCTCAGGTAGAGCCTTGGCTATAGAAAGTGGTAAAAATTCACTGACTTTTTCAGAACTTCCACCAGCCAAGATTTTGGCCTGTATCTTCTTTCTGGAAGCTGGCCAAATTTTTTCCAGTTTCCAGCACTATTCACTCCTACTGCAAGTTTCTGCTCTAGTGTTTGGGTCATTGCCTTGCTTGTGGTATATTTATAAATGCTTTGTGAAGAGTTAGTAAATGAACAATTGATGATTCAATAAATCATCAATCCGCTGCTACCAAGGCTGAAGGATCTAAAAGACATTTACAGCCACAACTTAAAACACCCTCCATCACCTTCTACTGTTCTTGCTAACAAAGGTTTTCTATCACTCACTATTCCTGCCTATAAGGTCTCATAACATACTTATCAGTTACTCACTTTCTATAAAATACATCTTCCTGTAACCTTCAGAGTGTGAATATGCTTATTTACGTACAGATGTCACCAGTCCAAGGTTTCTGTAAGGAGCAGAAAAGGCTGCAAATCCTGTGGCATGTACAAGGCAGACTCATCCCATCACCTTTGACAAGGTGAGAATTCAAGTTACTGAATTCACTGTAACTGGTAGGGTCAGTTCATTTTTAGGGGGTGCAGGATTTGTTGTGATGGAGGACAAAATCTTTTTCATCTCATGTTTTAGACCGAGAGTCTGATCACAGACTTCACAGTGGCTCCATCAAAAGTGTTAACTTGTGTATTGCATTATTGACTATGCTGATAATAACCTGGCACTGCTGAAACAATATCAACAATCCTGAGATGAAACACACTTTATCTCAAATATTCCTTTTTCAAAACAACCTCTCTTCCTATTTTCCTAGGCACAACGAACGAAATAATTGTTCTTGTTCACAGAGGATAAAATAATTTTTCTTCAGATCTTCTTTTACCCACGGGAAATCTCTTTTTCCACCCAGCTAAAGAGGTAATCTATTTTCTTTATCCTTCCACCCTAGTCCAGAAGCTGTGTCAACATGGTTAACTGGATACCTGATAAAGCTGACAGAATGTGCCTCTCCGACGGCGCAGTTCGGAATATGGTGTCAGTGGAAGTGACCTGCGCCGCTTCACTGACATTAGAGCATCCCTGGAATGGCTATTACGGTGCCAGTAGATGTGGCTAAGGCTGATAGCAATCCATGAAACAACCTTTCACAACCACTCCAGGAGAGAACTAAAGCGTAGACGCAGAAAATGTTTGAAATTTTGCAGGGCTATCATGCAAGGGGCCATGTATTTTCTTTTTTAGCAATCTGTGGGACTCTGTCTGCTGTGCAATTACTCTGTGCAATAGAGGGGCTAGGATTTATATAAAAACATAGCAACCAATTACACTCCAAGCATTCTGTAGGTAGAGCATTTTATGAACTAGGATAGCACGAGGCACCACTTTTGAGTGTAATTAATCTTAATTAATTCCCTCATATTTAGTATTAGCCTATCTGCGTATTTAAAAACCTATCTGACACACCCCCATCATACTGCCTGAACATCTCCTAGCGAATTAAAATGAAAAATGACTATAGCAATTATTGCATGTTTAGCTGCAGGAATGATTCTTAAATTACTAATTTCCCAAGACGTGCTAATGTAGCGACTGGCTTCTCGTGGTTTTGGGTGGTTCAGTTTACACATAAATTTGCATGGATTTAAAAGCAGCGCAAAGTTGTGCCCTTTTAAACAAATGATTCTGACTTTACGTCTGAAAAGGACACCAGTGCATCACCACTGTCATAGAATCACAGAATTGATTAAGTTGGAAAAGCCCTTTAAGATCTTAAAGTCCAGCACTGCCGAGCCCACTGCTAAACCACGTCCCCAGGTGGGGGCCTCATCCTGCTGGCCACAGTACTGCTGACACAATCCAGGATGCCACTGGCCTTGCTGGCCACATGCTGGCTCCTGCTCAGCTGCCACCAACCACCACTTTGCACTGGTGTGGCTGATTCAGCGCGTCCCTTCTCGAGCCCAGCAGTCCCGGTGCTCCGAGCTTGCGAGCCCACATAAAACTCCGCGTGTTTGATGCTTACGTGGTAGGAAGCTCTTTCCTCCCTGTCCATCGGGCGTGTCACGTACATCCTGCCAGACACAGGGTCAATGCTGAAGACTTCCATGGGCGGCTGGTCGGCTCCCACTCCGGTGATGCTGTACCTGATATGGATCTCTTTGTCCTTATCGGAGCGAATCTGCGCGGAACGACAGAGACAGGGATCCATAAGTTCTGGACGAGAGCCATATGGATGTTTAAGCAACTTTAAAGAACTGAGCCTGAAAGCTGCACAGATGTAACACCACTGTCAATTCTGACAAGGGAGCTGAACGCCAAAGGTTTGGAGAGAAGCCATAAAAAGTGTATTCCACATAGTTTCAGCTATTTTACTTCTCTTTTATTCTTGATTATTCTCTAGAAATCATTGGAATTGTGAGGTTTTTGACTAACTCAAAATGCACAAAAACCACTGTTTATGTATACTGAAACCACAGTTTCCTTAAAATGTCCAAATTTTTCAGCCATACCCAGAGTCTCCCAGCCATTAATCACTTCTGAAAATGCTGTCTGCAAGCTCCCACACCGTATTCTCAGTCCCTGTGACCGTGCACACAAATACTCCCATGAAATTTGAAGAACAGGGCTGTTTGCTCCCTCTTTGTCCAATCCTGCTAGCTTGACAAGGCTAGGCTGAGAATCCCCAGTGGGATATTAGCATTTTATGTGATTATTTGCTGAGGAGAATGATGTTTTGGACATTGTTTCTGAAAGCCCTTCCCTCCCATACCTTGCAAACAACACTGCAAAGCGAGTACAGCACAACAAGTTGCACGAACCTTAGATACAGAGCCAAGGAAAAAAAGAAGGGAGGTTAATATGTTGTCCTGGCAACCCCGACTATCTCTTTAAAACACAAATTTAATTTTCTGATCAAATGCTGAAAGAAGTTCTTGCAACAGCATGACTATTCCCGAAAGAAAGTGCAAGGTACAAATAAATTACCACCCCCCGCACCATCACAAACTGTCTTGGCACTGCAAAAGCAATGTGAATAATTTTTTCCCTACCAGGTCTATGAATACAACGAAGTAGTGGGAAGATAATAGAACCCTAGTACCTGAGTGCGTGTTGTCACCTCTGCTGTGGCAGCTGCATGCTTGGAGTGCGCTCAGTGGGTGCAGGAGACCCTGCGTCCCCCACACAGCCTCAGTTTGGGGAGCAAGGGTGGTTTCCCAAGGGAAGAGGAGGCTTTGCTTGTCAGGCAAAGGGATTGAGAAGGGGCTGTGGGCTTTGCAATTCCCCCCACATGTGACCTACAAATATTCCTTCCTCTCCTGACCCAGGAGGCTGACGAGGTGCTGAACGTGTCGGTGCAGTGCAGTATCAGATCCCTGGCTCTGAGACTCTCCTTTGATACCTCTGTCCAGATCACCACCAAGTTTGTGCACTGTTTTCTTTGTACTGCCTCCACCAAACCGTCTGTTCCTGTTAACAGCTAATCATGTCAGTTATTACAGGGCACTGCCAGGATTGATCCGAGCGGCACCTGTGCTGCTGGAGCTGAAGGTCAGGGAATAGAGGCAGTTTCATCTGTCTCTTCTCTGAAGGATTCACTGCTTGTTACACTCTTAGTATCAAGGAAAACTGATTGGACTTTACACTGGTATAGTTCACTTAAAAAAGGGGCTGGGAACATTGAAAGTGCCCTCATGTTGCACACAAGGTTATACAGGTTTTTGTGGGCCTAGTGGGTATTTGCAATAGAGACCCAGATAGACAGGCATGAATCCAATTTCCATTAGCAAACTGTGGGTGAAGAAAGGTATATTAAAATCAACTTTTGCTTTTACAAGTGTGGTTTTAATGATGAAAGCCAACTCCCCAGCTCAATAACTGAAGACCACAGCCCCCATTTTCAGAAGGTCAGCCCTCACCCTGCAAGTGGAAAGGGCTGGAAATCAAACTGGTTTCAATATCTGTACAAATGCATAGCTCAAGTCAGGGAGTTCAAGATTCAAACCTCTCTGTCCACATCTGTAGCTTAAATAAGTGATAATCTAGGAAGTCACTGCTGGACTTCCAGCTTTGAGCCAGGGTGAGGTTCCCACCTTGGAAACTAAAAAGGGTAATGTGGGACACACAGTTGTGTGTCTTCATCACAGTGTCTGTCTGCACAGCTCCAAAGAATCCATAACATAAATTTTTCCTTAACAAAGGTGGAAAAAACCTACAACAACCCAACCAAGGCACCTGGACTTTTCCTGCCTTTTTTGCTCACTGGAACATGGAAACTGGGAGGGTCTCCCCATCCCCAGCCTGGCTCAGCTATGGCTGTACTTGAGCAAAAGCACCAAAGAGCTAATCAGTCTCTCCAGAGAACCAAAATGGAAGCAGTTTTAACCCAAATCTCAGAAGAGGAGAGTCTGTTAGTTCTTCATGGACATTTTTCTGCTCTATTTCCTGTTGCATATAGTACCCAGATCCCATTGTGATAGAAGCATTAGAAATGCATAGAGAGAGACAGAAGCAGGGAAAAGGAGCCTGGATTTAAATATTTAGTGCTAAAGGCACTATATTTTATTTTCAGGAAATGCAGATAAACAGAAGCTCTCGAAGAAAGCTATGTACAGTTTAATAAAGTGTACGCTATAGGATGTCCTTGCAGCACTTTTATTAGCATTAATAGGGACTAGGCTGTCTGTATGTAAATCATTGCAGATCTAGGAGATGGAATATATCATAAGACCCACACGAGTTACCAATTATACTGAGAGAAATCCATGAGCTAATTATACTGCATTGAGCAAAACAAAGATAGGGGGAAATATGCTGCAAATATTCAGCAGTGACTCGTTATTTGCTGTTAATTGTGATCATAATACAATGGTCTGCCTGTTACCTGTACTTAAATCCATTTCCACTAAGAATACAAGGGTGTGAAGTGTTCAGAAAAAATCACGTAAGAAGTAGCACTTGTCACAGAAAGTTGCAAAGACCATTGACAATGAAGCATAGTACATATTACTACCAGGGAGATATTTATCACACACATGCTTTTTATATTGGAACATATAATTTTAACACTCTTAATGAGATTTAAAATAAAAAAAGATTCTTCAGTAATCCTTTAACATTTTGACCAAAGGTTTCATTTGCCTAATTCCCAGGGTGCAATTTAGTAAATCTTGTTGAGAAGTTAAGAACATTATCTGAACACAATGTAAGGTTTACTTCTTTTGTTGAAACCATTCCTGGAGCAGTTTACCATAATAATAATAATAAGAATAAAACCTCCTCTATTCCCAAGGAGCTCACTAGATCAGGAGAAAAAATTACTGACTGGGGGAATTTACTGGTGCAGAAGGGAGTTACTTTTTCCTTCATTTATGCCTGGGAAGCAAGAAGATGGTAACAGATCCATATGATAATCTTCTGACTGGAGAACACACATATGAATTTTCCTTTCATTTATCTCTCCTTTTATAATGCAGTCAAGAGGTATGCAGGGCTCTGGGTTACAGAACAGATGGCAGAAGGATGGTTTTCCTTAGCTGCATTTATACATTTTTTACTCGGAGAACCCTTGGAGCTTTGAGCTTCTCCAGTGCCAGGCATGATACAACTCTGCATATGATGATGTGAGCAGGATGAATGATGATGGTTGATGACTGTCATAAGGGGAATTTGCTTGTAAAGCAGCTTTTATGCTCTAAAAAACCCCTCTGGGATGGAGTTTGGAGTGGATTGTTACACTGGTGAGGGAAAATGTCCCAGATCAAAAGGCAATTTATGTTGGAAGATTCAATCCCTTGTTCCTACCCTACCTCATGGACACAGGTGGCATTTTCCATGCAGGAAACCTTACCTACTCTGACAGATACAAATGGACCATCTGGGAAATGTGGAATCAGCCACCAAAGCCCCATAGGGAACGTGCAGCAGGGCCAGGCACTGCACTGGTGTTGCCAGCCCTCTGCTTGGCTGTGGCCAGCAAGGACAGGGTGGCCTTGCAGCCCAACAGTGAGTGGCTGGAGCTCAAAGCATTGATTCATCATCCAAAACAGAGCACAGGGGCTGCTGTCAATGTTTGCAACTCAGAACCAGAACACCAAGAGTCTGACTCAGCCCTTGTTTCTATAGAGTATTCCCAGAAACAGGAGAAACGGTGTGATTTCACAGATGGCCATTTTCTACTGTGGGTTCTGATATAATAACTAAAATGTGTGAAAATGAACATTGCAACTCCTGAGATAATACAGGGCTAAGCCCTTCCGAGCTGGCTTTTTCCTCTGCAGCAATGTCACATTTAGATAGAAAAGCAGCCTGTGCTTGTAGCCCAGGACTGCATCCTGCTTTTACAGATAACATCTTAGGGTTTGTGCATCTCTGTCAGGATTTACTGGGCAGCTAAACCATTCCCACAAGTTTTACTGGTGAACAGAATTTCAAGTGATGAGTTCCTCTAAGGTACTGGATTTTGTTGCTGTTTTTCTCCTGTTGATCCATGTCCTTGTGCTCTCAGCATCCCCCTTTCTTGCCGAGGGGTTTGAATTCACAAGCCCTCTCTTTCACCCTGGCAGATGACAGAAGCCACCACAGATCCCTCTAACGCTCCCATGCCAGGAGCAGGGGTGATACAGACTATGGAAAGCTGTGTGGTCAGCAGATTGGAGGGCACCAGTGAGACCATAAATGGAGCGTGACATTGCCAGAATAAAAAGTGTCCCGATGGATGCTGTTTGGATATCACTGAAGGAAATGCCTGGAGGCCTAGGAAATGGGGTGTGTAAGAAAAAGCTAAACAAACAAGGACAACTGAGCCTACAGAAGAGGTGCCTGTAACAGCAGGGCTCCTGTACCTAAAAAAACTATATTTAGAGAATTTCACGATCCCTACGTGATCTCGGTTCTGTCCATCACCATGCAATGTAATATAGGAGGGCCTGGAAATGTATCTGGAGAAAGCAAAGCAGGACATTTATTCACTGCTACATTTTCCTTCCACAGAGCAAACCAGAAAATAAATTTCCTTGTAAGTTCTGCATCTTGCTCTATAACATATGGAGTCCAGAATGCCCTTCAAAAAACACTTAGTTTCCCAAATCTCCCATAGAATACTATGCAACATTTGCACTAATATGACCTGGGGATACTTAGACTTGATTTTTTTGTTTTATAAAGCCCATTATAATTATT